AAACCGCCTTCCCCGTCACGTTCACTAGGTATTATGTGACTTGGAAGCAGTTTTACTGTCACTGAAGGGTTAAAGCCCAACAGCTGTGAACTAATGATTCAGACAGAGAGAGGAGGGGAAAGCCCCATGCCATCAGTGATTGGATGACAGGAATCAGACAAGTGTGACATGCCTTCTGATTGGGCCATGGCCAGTCAGGAGCTGTAGGCTGTTCACAGACATGAGCCTTCTGAAGTCTCTGACCGACAGTTACCTCTTGCACAGTTCACAGGGTTTGTCATAATAGAGCTGCCTGCTATTGGCTCCGAGTGTTCAGCATATCCTCCTGCAGCCAGTAAAAGGCCCACTCTTCAGTCTACAATACACATGGAAGAAGGTGTGGGATGTGAACTTTTAATAACGTTTAACTGTAATGTTTCAAGCATGTGTGAAGCGCCGCAAACGCCCCTGGAACACGTCGCCAAACAATGCTGATGCAAGGTGTAAAATTGTTGCCTGGCAGCGTGCAGTAAACATCCCATTTTTGTTCTACCATTTGTCATTATGTGCCGGGCCCGGCTCTGTAACTGAAAGCTGTGTAGTATCAGAAAGATAAAGTGTAGTCTTGTGTTTTCAGACAATAAAACCTGCGTCCAGGAGAGCGCACAATGGGGTTGATTTACTAACACAATATATTTGTAACTAAGCCTAGGGAAGTGTATTCAGTTCAGTCCAATTATGTGTGGAGGAAACACATTATTATTTTACAGAGAGAAATACTGGCCTCTTTGAGACCAATACAGAAGAAATACTGGCCTCTTTGAGGCCAATACAGAGAGAAATACTGGCCTCTTTGAGGCCAATACAGAGAGAAATAAGGCCAATACAGAGAGAAACTGGCCTCTTTGAGGCCAGAGAGAAATGAGACCAATACAGAGAGAAATACTCTTTGAGGCCTCTTTGACTGGCCAATACAGAGAGAAATACTGGCCTCTTTGAGGCCAATACAGAGAGAAATATGGCCTCTTTGGCCTCTAAATTGAGGCCAATACAGAGAGAAATACTGACCTCTTTGAGGCCAATACAGAGAGAAATACTGGCCTCTTTGAGGCCAATACAGAGAGAAATACTGGCCTCTTTGAGGCCAATACAGAGAGCAATACTGGCCTCTTTGAGGCCAATACAGAGAGAAATACTGGCCTCTTTGAGGCCAATACAGAGAGAAATACTGCTCTTTGAGACCAATACAGAGAGAAATACTGGCCGCAATGCTTTCTGGGTCACGGGTCCTGAATAAGCAGGCATCAGATCAAGTCTGAAGAGTGGAGTTCAAAACTTCTGATCTGCATCAGTGAATTCCAAAGTATTGGAGGCAACAAGATCGCTGTAACCTCCAGACATCATTTATACAGAGAAGGATCAGAGATGGCAGCCTTTATGTTATCCCTGTAAATGTTTTCTTTCTCTGCACATGATAAAAGCATAACTAAACCCAAAAATAAAAATGTAACATATTGCAGCTTACGTTCTTAGTGGGGCCCACTGGGTTCAATACCATACTCTGAAATCGGATCAACAACAGATCTCTTTTCAGAGGGGAGGTAAGCTTTACTGCTAATGTGAACGAGAACTAATGCCCCGTACACACGATAAGAAAATTGTACAAAAAATTTAGCGGAACCACTGATCAAGCGATTTTCTCTTGATTGATGAGCAGGATGTTTTAACCAATAACGATATTGTGAACGAAAACATCCGGTTGAACAACAGTGAAAAATGTTGTCGTTTTGCATATGAACGACCGATTTTCTATGTGTTGATATGACAGTCGTATGAAAAAAATCTATCAAGCGCTATCATGCATGAGCGGAAACAGAAGATGACTTGGATATTTATGTCCAAGGAATCTTCGTAAACACGAGCGAAAAATCCAAATGTTAAAAGTAGATTGGCCTAATGAGATAATAAAACCAGAATTCTTCATATTATATTTTATGTATCACTATTTATGTATATAGTTAATGTAATAAACGATATTATACTCATTGCTGGTAATTGTTGTGTATATCGCTCGTTCTGGCCGGAAGGGTGTGGCTACAAGTTCACACGTACACTGCATCACTTCCACTTGTACGGAAGACGTCAACACTACATATTGCCCGACAAACGATTTTTTTAAATTGGTTATTGTGGGTCACGATTTCGACCAACGAACGAACGCATTCGGTCATCGGATAACCAATCGGACGATTTTCTAATCGTGTATTCCCACCTTAAGTCTGTTGTATTCCAAATTTGTCTAACAGAGCAAATTATCCAGCTAGAGGGCTGAGACAAACTATTTGAGCCCTGGTTTTCACAATGATGCGGTGCAATTTCTGTGTTTTCAAGTGCGATTTCATGAGCAGTTGCAATGCAATTCTGCTGCAATTTTACACAGCTGCAATTTTTGTTTTGGCTAATTTTTTGACATTAGAAATATCTCGTACTGAAATCACATTGCATTTGAAAACCTATGCGTTTTCACTGCTGTTTCCATTTAAGGCTGTCGGCTTAAAAGCGCACCGATCACACAGGACCCTTTTGGAAATTGCATCACGTTTGGAATGCATGAGTGCAAATGGCCAACATAGAAAGCGTCACTTGCGGCACAGCTGCATCCATTCATCCATTCATACCCGGGCACAGTGCATCTTGTTGTTCGATAGGATGTTGGACTATGGCTATGCCTATATCTGTCTACAAAACTTTAAGTTGCTCTCGTACGGACTTGTATATAGCCATACTTTGAGAAAATTTACAGACATATCTTATATGGGTGGGATTAGTAAATAATTTTTTTACATTTTTGTGTTTTTTTTGTGTTGAACACCAAAAAATGAGCACAGAAAAAAAAGCAAAACTGAAAACAGATAGTGGAAAATCATTCCAAGAGGCCTGGACAGAGTCAATTGGAGTGACTGAACACAATGGGGGAAAGCGGTATGTATTCTGCTTGGTGAAAGTGTTGTGCTTTGCACACCAACCACAAAAGTTATTGTGTTTTTTTTGTTTTTTTTTTAAGACAAAAGATGTTAATTCGTTCAGACAATTGTAGGAGTTGTTTTTTCTAAACAAAAACCTCAGTATTAAGGTTTAATTGCAGTGTTGGCACTTTGAAATAAATAAGTGGGTTTGTGTTGCAGTTTGAGCACTCGGGCTTAAAAAGGTTCACCATCACTGCTCTATACGTTCTGGAACACATCGGAACCACATCAGATTTACATCAGTGGGAACCAAGTTGAACTATTTTTTCTTTTTTTCATTGCTGATTTCACTGGTGCACATAAATTCTCCATTATGTAATCCAACAGACCTACCCTCTATTTAGCCTGGATTGGTGCTTGTCAACAGTTCTTGTAATTTAGTCTGTGACATTTTGCTATGGCATTTTTCCCCCGCTTTTTTAAAAAATTGTTTTGCCTGAAATAGTCAATAAAAACAATTGAACAAGAAGAGTGGGACTAATACTGTGAGCAAGCAGGCTGTTTATTGCTGAATATATATGCAATGTCATGTGCAGCTCAGTTTACATCCTGGCACGCCATTGGGATGGGATGATTGCACTCCTGAACATGAAACCAATGAAGAAGGCTGCAGCCTAGCACCCAAAAGAAGGCAGGTAAAATATGCTGGCAAGGGACATCGGACCATTGAAGGAGAGGTAGATATTGCTCTGCTAGTTGGTTCCGCTTTACACTGACAGAGGTGCTTACAATGATCAGCTTTTATTCATTGATGTAAAACCTTTAACCCAAAAGGAACAAAACTGTTTGCTGCAACTGCTTATAAAGTATGGGATCAAGTTTGGTTTCAATTTGTTAGTGTATTTAACCATGCTAGTACATTTAACCCCCCCCCAGACTGACAATGCCGCTGTCCATAGATGTCTCTATGCTCCTTCATCCTGCTTATAAAGTGTTTGCTGGAGAGAGACTTTAATTTGATAGTCACTAATATAAAGTCTATTTACGTAGATCTACTAGGCCATCCAACACTACACTCTCCACAGGCTGATAATGCCAATTGTCCAAGGGTGGCTATGTTGCTTCTCCATAGATATACGGAAGGAGTGAATGTAGCCACCCTAAAGCTTGCCATAGACACTTTGATAAATGTTTGGTTTGATTTCCGATTGATCTCTTCCGATAGGAATAATAGATCTATAGTCGACAACTTATTCATTCAGTAAGCCGCACATGTGGAAGTGGATTACAATTGATGGTTACGTTACAATTGTAACTTATGATCTTATATTATCACATCTCTGTTTCCACCATGTAATCTCAAAATCTGATCAACCGAAATAAGATCGTATTCCTGAACAATGTTTTTCTGAGCTGTCGATTGATGCAAAACCATCAATAATACTCTGCCCTGACTGATCGACTCATTTTAATCAAATTTGATCAAAATTGAGGCTAAATTGATCAGAAGGGAAGTTGTTGCTAATCAAGCTTTTGTGAATTCCATCATTTTGATCAAATTGAACATTGAATAGATAACAAAAAATTGAAGCATGTATGGCCGCCATAAGACAGGGAGTGTGTTACTGGCCAGATCAACAGGTGAAAATAAAGGAAACTAATGCAGCCACCACATCTAAGATTTGGTATACTGCTATATATTACATATTTGTTTTTGAGTTTAGGTACACTTTAAATTGACCTTGTGCTTTGGCCATGAGGGACAAAGCAAAAGGTTCTGTTTATTCACAATTTCCACCAGTTTTTAGTTGAGTCTCCTTTACTCTTCTGCCATTTTGCTCTAGAGTGAAGAAAAACACCCAATACTTGCAGGTATGGGGGAGCATGTGAGACATTCCCTGTCATATAACAGCACTAATGCTTGGTGATTGGCTATCCAATGCTCTTAGGGCTTGTTCACACTTGACTCAAAATGCTGACTCTTCCCAGATCAGAACGAGAAAGTATCAGGCGTTTCAATCACCTCCATGGCCACAGGTGTATAAAATCAAGCACCTAGGCATGCAGACTGCTTCTAAAACAGCTGTGAAAGAATGGGTCGCTCTCAGGAGCTCAGTGAACTCAAGCATGGTACCGTGATAGGTTGCCACATGTGCAATAAGTTCATCCGTGAAAGTTCCTTGGTACTAAATATTCCACACTCAACTGTGAGTGGTATTATAACAAAGTGGGAGCAACAACAACTCAGCCATGAAGTGGTAGGCCACATAAAATGACAGAGCAGGGTCAGCGCATGCTGAAGCGCACAGTGCACAGAAGTCGCCAACTCTCTGCAGAGTCAATAGCTAAAGACCTCCAAACTTCATGTGGCCCTCAGATTAGCACGATAACAGTGTGTAGAGAGTATGGAATGGGTTTCCATAGCCGAGCAACTGCATCCAAGCCTTACCTCACCAAGTGCAAGACAAAGAGTTGGATGCAGTGGTGTGTAGCACATCACCACTGGACTCTAGAGCAGTGGAGACGTGTTCTCTGGAGTGACGAATCACGATTCTCTGTCTGGCAATCAGATGGATGTGTCTGGGTCTAGCGGTTGCCAGGAGACCAGTACTCACCTGACTGCATTGTACCAAGTGTAAAGTATGGTGGAGGGGGGATTATGGTGTGGGGTTGTTTTTCAGAGGTTGGTCTTGGCCCCTTAGATCCAGTGAAGAGAACACTTAAGGCATCAGCATACCAAGACATTTTGGACAATTTCATGCTCCCACCATTGTGGGAACAGTTTGGGAATAGCTCCTTCCTGTTCTGCTCTGGGGCTTTTGGAGGAAGGCCCTAGAGACAGTGGGTGGATATGAGGAGTGGCTGGCTGCACTTTTGAGGGATCCTAGCCCATCCCAAACAAACAGTTGGCAAGGGGCTGGACACCCTTAAAAGTGTTGGAGCCTGCTCAGCAGCAGGAGAGTTGGAGGGAGAGAGTCAGGGGGAAGAAGGAGAGAGGAAGGATGTGAGGCTGTGAGAAATAAGGCTGTGAGAAGGCCCAGTGGGATGGGGCCTACCTGCAGGCCTGGAGGTGGATGGGGAGAAAGCTTGAAACTCACTGGACCCCTGAGAGGGAACCATGTGTACCCCTGAGAGGGGACCACGTGTATGGCAGGGAAGGAGCAGCCAAGCTGATAGGCCTGGTAGCAGCAGCCAACCGACAAGCGGTGCAGGAGAGGCTCTGAATGAGTATACCTACGCCCTCTGGGCAGATATATGGGAAGGAGCACTCTGGTGGCAAACCAGATTGGCCCTCTACTTGTGACTGTTCCCCTCTTTAAAGGGACACGAGCTGGATCTCATGGTCAGGGATACCTCCAGATTGCTGGATGAAGAGAAGTTCATCTAGGGTCTGGGATAGTACACTAAGGAGACACTGGCTAGCTCTCCAACAGAGACTGTGCTGCAGAGAAGGCTTGTAAACAGTTCCAGGAAATTGTGCTCAGTTTTTCAGCACCCTTGGGCATCCTGTACACCCCTAACCCTATCCCAGTGCAAATCCCCTCAATAAAACAAAAAAACAAAAGCTCAAGAACTGATTTCTGACTCTGGATGCAAGTCTTGGTGAAGATGTGTAATGCCTGGCTGTGCAGGACTATAGGGGACCCAAATCTTCTAACGACTTCTAAGAGAGTAGTGCTACACACATAAGCAATGTGGATGCAGGGATCTCCCCTTCTGGGTTATTGTGTTCTTACAGGAGGGAATTCCCCCCCCCCCCCTTCCCCAAATACACAGATCAGCACTAAAGCCGTTGGCTATAGTGACTGATTGATTGCTGGTTTTCCAGCATGACTGTTCGATAGAAGCCATTGAATAGAGAGGAGTAAACATACACCAAAATTTGGCTAGTTCCTGCTGAACCGGCCACATTTCACTGTGTGTACCGTATACAATGTATCCATATACAATGGATCGAACTCTGGATGCAATTCTTGGTGAAGATGAGTGATGCCTGGCTGTGCAGGACTATAGGGGGACCCAATTCATCATCATCAGCTCCTAAGGGGGTAGTGGTACAGTACAAAAGACAGTTATCAGAACAAAAAGACAAGGATCAGATATGCTTTGTTTCCATAGTTTTAAAAGGTAGTGTAGAAAACATTTTTGTTCAAAGTCAGTACTGTATGGACACATCCTAGCTTCCTACTATTAGATATGGTCCAGCCATGCATACATGATCTGCTCAGCGAGCAATCTTTCTAATGAGAGATCATTCTACAAATATGAATGTTCACATTGTACAAACTTGCATGGCTGTGCCTTTGAGGGAGAAGGAAGGAGGGAATCCTAAAGGCCTCAGCTGTCTCAGGGGGAAACAAGAATGATCAATTGGGAAAATCCATCCCCGCCAATCAACTTTCCCCAAGTAGGCCTGGGTAGGGAGCCGATGCCGTGGAAAAGAGCATACAAACTTCTAAATATTTCTTGTTCTGTCCTGTGAATGTCCATGTCAAGTAAATGTTCTCTAATACAAGAAAATATGATTGCTTGGAAACTAACAATGAGGTGCTGATTTGCCCTTCACCTGATATCATTATTCTTTGCATGCCTCCCTACAGATGAGATCTGATTGTGAAAGCAGGCTATTTCTTTTTCTAATGAGACAAAAGCTGATCCCCTTGTGACAACAGCCAGGGGAATATTAACTGGGAGGCAAATAAGGAGTTTGCCTAGGGGGCGGCATTTATCGGGTGGGGGGGGGGCGGTGCCACCCCCCTGAAGAAGGGACACACGCGGCATGGGGATCAGGTGGGATTTGATAGGGGCTACTGGTTGCTTGATGGCGTATGCACAGCCCGACTCTCATTCCCAGGGATGTTTGGAGCTGTGAAGGTAAGTGTCTTTCTCTCTCTCACCGGGAAGGGAGGGGGGTAGCGGCGGGTGTATGGGGGGGAGGTATTAGTGGAAGGCTCTCTTGGCCATTGAGGTAGGCTGTGGGGTGGTGGTGTTGGTCTATGTGAGACTTTCTCTGTTTGTGGTCGTTGTTCGGTGTCAGGCTCTCTTCGCACGGGGGAGGGGGAGGTGTTGGTCTGTGTTAAGCTCTCTATTTTTGGGGTTGCCAATTTTTGTATTGCCTAGGGCAGCAAAAAACCTAAATACACTACTGAAAACAGCTTACTTCCTTTGTAACCATTACATTTTTTATATATATATATATATATATATATATATATATATATATATTGTTAGATGATTGTGTCAGAATTTTACAACTTATGTGACAACTATTTGTTCATTTCAGCTGCTAATATTCTCTGTCTCATTATTTCTTTATTCAGCCGTTTTCTGTCAAGTGCCTGAAACAGAGAGCCACAGTATTATTCTGTTGTCATACCTACCAACCTGGCTCATTTCCAGGAGGTGAGAAGCCTGTTTCTGCTTCTACCTAATTTCCCACTCCAAGTTGAGGTTGTTATTTTTAGCTGATCATATAAACATTATTAGTACCTCTGCTGCATTCAAGCTTCTCATCTGACCCATCTTTGGGTCAGTTGATTTAACATACTGTAGGTCCCGTACTGTACTCCAAGAAACATTTTATCGGTAAATCAAAAAACCTTTCTTCTTAGTCACACACAGGATACTTAGTCTTTACCATGGGATGTGAAGAAGCAGTCCGACAGGCTCCCATAACAAACAGGTCATGAAAGGCTTGAAAGACTCTGGGTGCAGCTTGCAGCCATACACCCAAAACCGGCATCAAAGAAGGCCTGGCCATCCACCTCCTAATACAACTTAAATCCTATCTCTGGGCTGGAAGAAATAAAACCCCATGCAGTTGGGTCCCGTGCACTGCATAGGTTAAATGCTTGTTATATGTAGGGGGAGATGAAAAGGCAGATTTTCACCCCTGTTCTAGCTGTGTCCAGTGCTGTCCCCTTTTTCCCCGTGCAGAAATAACCCAGTAATGTAGCAAGCTGAAGTGCAACTGCAGTCAGGGGCACCTTAGAGAAGAGGGTTCACAGGACAGATAGCATTGGTGCAGGAACCATGTTGGAGTGAGGAAAAATGTAATACACTTTATTGCTCTACCCCTAGGCCAGAAAGAGCATTTAAACCTTTGATGTCAGCGGAGCCAGCTGCAAGGGAAGGTTTTTCTTATGCCCAGAGTTGAGCTTTAGCAAAAAGTGTGAACATTTTTTGGGCAGCACAGTGGCTAAATGGTTAGCACTTCCGCCTGGCAGTACTCGGGTTGTTGGTTTGAATCCCAACCACGGCACCACCTGCCTGGAGTTTGCATGTTCTCCCTGTGCCTGAGTGGGTTTCCTCCGGGTACTCCGGTTTTCTCCCACACTCCAAAGACATGTTGGTAGGTTACTGTAATTGGTTCCTGTCTAAATTGTCCCTAGTATGTGTATGTATGAATGTGAGTTAGGGATTTTAGATTGTATGCCCTTTGAGGGTTAGGGACTGATGTGAATGTACAATATATATGTAAAGCGCTGTGTAAATTGACGGCGCTATATAAGTACCTGTAATAAATAAATAATAAATAACATGGCAGAAACTAGAGGGGGGGTGGGCTATGCCTCCCCAGATTTCAGTTTTGCCCCCCCTTTGAAAGCTTCCCATTTACAAGTCACAATGACCCTCCACACCTCATGCTGTGCACAGCCATCCCCCATCCCTGTACTGTACATGCACAGTCTGATCACAGACAGCAAGATCTCCCCCTCCGCTCTTCCCCACACAACAGAGAGCTGAAATCCGAATTCTCTTTCACTTAGCTACGATCTGCACAGTGTAGTTGGTTACTGTTTTGCACTTCTGACCTGTGAAATTCCCTGGTCAGCATGGCAGCACAGCTGTAGTAACCAGCTACACCCTATGCAGATCATAGCTAAGTGAAAGAGAATCAGATTTCAGCTCTGTGTTGTGTGGGGAAGTGCTGAGAAGGAGATCTTGCTGCCTGAGCTTAGGCTCATGTACAAGGGAGCTATGCTGAGTGCCCTGCCAGCAGTCACCCCTGTGCTCTCTCCTTCCAGCAGTGACCCCTGTGCTCTCTCCTTCCAGGTGTGACCCCTGTCTTCTATCTTTCCAGCAGTGACCCTGCCTTGCCAGCGGTGACCCATGTCCTCTCTCCTGCCAGCAGTGACCTCTGTGCGCTATCCTTCCAACGGTGACCTCTGTCCTTTCTCCTTCCAGCAGTGACCCCTGTCCTCTTTTTTTCCCAGCTGTGCAACTTGTCCTCTTTCCTTCTAATAGTGACCCTTGTCCTCTTTCCTTCCAGCTGTGACCCTGTCCTCTCTCCTTCCAGTGGTGACCTCTGCCTTCCATCTTTCTAGTGGTGACCCTTGTTCTCTCTCCTATGAGCAGTAACTCCTGTCCTCTCTCTTTCCAGCAGTGACCCCTGTCCTCTATCCTTCCAGTGGTGATCCCTGTCCTCTCTTCTTTCAGTGGTGACCCCTGTCTGCTATCTTGCCAGTGGTGACCCCTGTCCACTGCACTGCCAGTGGTGACCCCTGTCCTCCAGCCTGCCAGCGTTAGCCTCTGTTCTCTGTCCTACCACAGTAAACCCTGTTCTCTGCCGTACTGATTCCCAATACACTGACTTACCAATTCCTGTGCACTCCCCTGCTGACCCATTGTGCACTGC